CACCGTTTCACAATGTCCAAATTTCACAAACTCCAACGTCTAAAATATTAAATAAACAGTGCGTTTCATAACCTCCAAATTTCATAAACTTCAAAACTATAACTTTCAAATAATCACTGATTCACAATGTCCAAATTTCACAAACTCCAACGTTTAAATATCAAATAAACAGAGCGGTTCATAACCTCCAAGTTTCATAAGCTCCAACGGTACAGTCTCTGCCAGAAGTCGCTGCAGAGGTTGCCGTGGTTCGGTATGTAGGCGCTACACGTTCTACTGTTGTTGTTGTTGAGTTTTAAAAAATTAAAAATAATTTCAGGGTACTGAGTTAGTATGATTTCTTTAATATATATACAGACTGTCCCAAAAGTCCCGGACCGGTTTAATATTTTCTAAACGACAACAGATAAATATATAAGATTCAAAATTCAACAGATCGCTCAAAGATTCAAAATGGCAGATTCAAGAAATCTTTGAACGGCTGCCATTTTTTACTCAGTTATTCGTTTGAGTTCAAATTTGGGGCATTATATTCTGCTAGTAAAGTTCTTTAATTTGATGGACATTTCAACCTATGCTTCTATTTAAGGTTTCCTTCTGATTCCTTGTGGGACGTCCCCATGATATGACAGAAAATTGATAGTTCCTTACAAAAGTAGATTTTCAGGTAGTGGTGTTGATGTGCAAAATCTTATTGATTTATCTGTTGTCGTTTAGAAAATATTAAACCGGTCCGGGACTTTTGGGACAGTCTGTATATATATATGAATTTGAACTGACGGTGTTTTTGGTCTCTAGGGACCTCAAAACGAAAAAGTAAATCGGTCCCGGGACCAGGTCTTACCATGAGTACTACGGTAATAGCTTATTCCCTATAGGGGAAATTCGCTAAAATGTAAATTTGATTTGCACATTGTGTGCTAACACATATTTGAGTCACACAGCTGAGTATTCTTCAATCATTAAAATGTACGTATAATCAGTAGTTGAGCGCTGGCGAACGGTGCCTGCTATCTGACTGTGGCAACCCTGGTGGCATCCACTAGAGAGACTTCTGGCCCAGACTGTACCGTTGGAGGTTATGAAATTTGGAGATTATGAACCGCTCTGTTTATTTAATATTTAAACGTTGGAGTTTGTGAAACTTGGACATTGTGAAACAGTGATTATTTGAATGTTATAGTTTTGGAGCTTATGAAATTTGGACATTATGAAATGCGCTGTTCATTTAATATTTTAAGCGTTGGAGTTTGTGAAGTTTGGAGTTTATGAAACACTCCCTACTTTCTTCGACACTAATCACACGAATTAGAAGTTGATAAAACTAAAATGCCACAATTAATTATTCACTGGCACACAACTGTGATGTTTATATGGTCCGAAATAACCTTAGTAAACTTTTTTATTCTAACAGCTGATGATTAAATAAATTGCAGACAAATGTAAACAAAAACCCCAAAAAAATTATTCTTCCTATACAAACTCCATGCTAAGTTTGACCTTCTGTGGGGCCCATTGGGAATTTTGTAGGGGTCTGCGGGTCCCCGATTTTTTCGGGTCGGGTCAGAGATTTGATCGGGCCAAGATTGGGTCGGGCCAAAAAAAATAATTAAATTATTATTTTCAAAGTTATAATAAGTTATTTTCAAAGAAACACTCTTATATATATTATTACAGAGGAATTAAAACGTTAAAATTCGAATTAAATATTAAGTTTGCTCACGATGGTTTAAGAACAAAGACACAACAGAGCAATTATTGCCGTACTGTCACTAGCCAGAGCCAGTCGTCTACTGACAAAAGCCGTGACGCAACAGTGCAAAGAAAACAAAGTCAAAAGAAAGACTATTTATCCAGAGGTACCAGTTTAATTATTTATTGTTTATTCCATACCTAGTTTAAAATATATTTTAGTATTTTACATAATAAATTATAAACAAAAGAAATATCTGATATAGTGTACAGATCTGTATCTTGTTCTTTTATTTTCCTATTGTCCTTTTTGTCATTCAGTAACAAAACAAAACAACACTTCTGATCGTCTGGTTCTGCATTGTATGGTCACCATTTCATTTAAAAAAAAAGTATCAAGTATCAGCAAGTCTACAAAGAGGTTAGGCCTAAATATTTTATAATTTTTATGAAAGTTTTCATCAGTAAAATTATTTTTTCTTAAGTTAGATTGAGTTTTAAAAAGGATATTTCTAAGATCCAATACAATATTTACAAGACACATACTACCATGAATTAATTTCTTTGGAAATTATCTGTAACAGTTTTTTTTTATTTTTTAATAAAGAAATAATATATCTTTTTGTCTCTACTTACTTGTTTCGTTACTTGCATTTTGTCAGCAATTGGACAACCGGGTGGTGTAATGGGGCGGGGGAGGGGGAGGGTCTATGACCTTGAGTGTCCCCGAGCCGGGTTGTGCAAGAGGTGAGGGGAGGGGGAGGGTCTGTAACCTTGAGTGTCCCCGGGCCCGGACCTGGCTGTGAGTGTGATTCATGGTTTTTTGTTTACATTCTACTACCCTTCCTTCCGAGAAAAAGACCTTACAGTTTCAAAAACATTGACCTACAGTATAAAAACATTGAGTTGTGTTGCTAATTAGGGCACTATAATTTCTGTGCTGTCTGCTTATGTTGCCAAATTAGCATTTAACTTTCTTTTCTCTTGATTTAATATAATTTTCTATAATTATATTAAGAGTTCCTTTTCGGGTAGGCTACCTAATTAATTGTGATATTGTTTGACTTGACTTTATGGATTTTTAATTCTTTTCATTTATTAGCTATCAAAATCAGTTGTTTTAGGATTTTAATCTCTTGCAATACCGTAGGTCTATACTACTGTGTATGACATGATATGCAATTTTTACAGCCTTTACTATAACTATACCATAAACAATGTATGTGTGTTATTTACTGTTTTAGAGTGTTATAGTAAATTAGTTTACACAATATCTTTTCTTCAATGAGTTCTCCACTTGTCATGTTGCTTAGCCTATTACTATAAAAATTAATTCCTATGTAAAGCTGTAGGCCTAAATGCCAATAATAGATAATTCTTTATTTATGATGATGTAACTAATAATGCTATTGTAAATGTGAGGTTTTTATACTTAGAAGGTTAGGAGGCAGGGAATGAATGATTCATATTGCATGGTGGAAACATAGAATTTTTATTTTCTTCTTGCTTGCAGCCTTGAAGCCAGTCCACAGGCCCTAAACTTGTGATAAGGTTAATTGATTTGTTTATGACCCTTTTATATTAAGTTCCATTTCAAACTTGTTGTAATATAACTATTTAGATATTTCAACAGTTATGAAAATGGGAAAGAATGGCTTGATAAAAAAAATTATTTTCTTCTTTCTTGCAGTTGATTCAACTCCTAAGCTGTAAATAAGTTATGAACATGAAATAATATACATAAATACAATCTTTTTTCATATTTTATTTTCAAGTAATATTATAAACACAGAGTTAAAAGAAAAAAAATCCGGTAATTAATAATTTTTGGCCCGACCCGATTTTGGCCCGAAACCCGAGGACCAAAATTATCGGCCCGACCCGACCCGACCCGAACCAAAAAAGTCTGACCCGCAGACCCCTAGAATTTTGTAAAATTTCTTCTTATTGTCTGCCTTCGCTATGAGAGGAATATGTATGCAAAATCTCATACCTCTAGGTGCTATGGTTTGGCCTGTGTGTTGATTGGAATTTCACATTTGATATATAGAGCTGTGAGGTATATGTATGTAATCATAATATAGAAAACAGATAGTGTTGATAGTTGCTGTATAGTGAGATTTACTGAACAGTGAACAGCATGTTATTTTTTCAAAGGAAACATTAATGAGATACCAATGGCTTAATAAAAAACTGCTGCAATATTTCATTCTGATAACCTCAAAAAGATTACATGAACATTATCGTAAAACTGTAAAATTACTCTTGGACCACCAAGTATTTGAATGCAACCCAAATATTAAAGTGATTTGTCCAAGCTGAACTAATCAAGAAGTATTGGCAGTTGTTTGGTTAAAATTATAGGCCTATTTGATGAAATCCAAAATTAACTCTTTATGAAATACAATTTGATAAGGTTGCAAATAAATATTAAATCAGGGACAGTTTTTGAAGACGGAGATTTACAATACTAACTAGTACAGGGACAGTTTTGGTAGAGGGAGATTTTTAATACCAGTACAGAGAGAGATTTTTTGGGAGATTTACAATACCAGTACAGAGACAGTTTTGGAGACGGAGATTTACAATACTAGTACAGGGACAATTTTTGTAAAGGGAGTTTTTTAACACCAGTAGAGAGACAATTTTGTAGAGAGAGATTTTCAATACCACTACACGGACAGTTTTAGCATCTACGTCTCTATTTTACTTGATAAATGGACTTACAGAGTTTATGGCTGGTGGGTTGTTTTAAAATTTAGCTAAACGATATTCTTCATTTTAGTCCAGTTCTTTGCTATGAAAAACATCAATGAATTAAGTGCAGTATTTGTTTCATAAATCGTTAAATAAAATCCAGACCAAATGTCATGTACCGTACTTGTTAAAGACATGTTTGTGCCTAATTTTATATTCACAAATAGCACTGAATTTTGTTTACTACTCCATGGCAAGATAAACTGGGACGGGTGGGGTCGTCCTGTAATCCAGCTACTAGGAGGTTACGAATTGTGGATATTAATAGGCATGCACTGTGGATGCATTACTCCCTGGTGTGGATTAACAGTTAGTTAATGCGTGATTGAACTTCAAACAAACACACAAACTTTCACATTTATAATATTAGTAAGATTAATTAACAGCTGTGTCTAAGGAATAATCGGCCTTAGTCACTAACAAGACTACAAGATCGCGCCACACTCATCCTACACTCATCTCCATTCATACTTGGCTTAAAATACCTACTTTGTATGGTCACCACTTCATTGAAAAGTATAAAGTATAAAATATAAATCTGTCATACTCACCAAAATAGGAAAAATATTATGAAGCTTTCACAGATACCAAGAAATGCAGCAAATACTAAAAAGGTGGCGATGGAGAGATCTTTCACCAATGTTATAACATCTTTGATGATGTTTGCAGCCACTGGAAGTTCAGGCAACTAAGGAAAAACAAGATAATCAAGCAGAATATTTAAGCATTGGTTACTTTTAAAACCAATTTGTAGCTATAGGTCGGCCGTTTAGAAAACGACCTGCGCGAAATTTTTAGCGCATGTAGGGGAGGTAACGGCGAGGGAGGGTACGTTCCCCCTCTCCGCCAATTGCTGTTTTCACAAAATGTGTGCATAGTGACGTCACGTGCTAGCTGAACGTGTTTTATTTTACCAAATCATATGTTTTCTTGTAGTTTCCCAAAGACTTTCGAATGACAATCATTACGAATTAGCATTGAATATATAACACTATTTAGCGTTTTATATCCAATAGTGTTGTATTCAATACTGAATATAGTCATAGTGTTATAAAGTACAGGGTGTGGCAAAAAACCGATCCATTTTCTGCAGAGCACTGTTCAGCGACAGGTTGTCTGAAAGTGGTGGGAGTAAGCTCGTTGGAAAGTCTACACAATGCCATTTTTTCTAGTCACAGAGCAGTGGTCGCCTGAGCTACGTGAGGTTGTTATGGAGTTGTTTTTAAAAAGTATTGAATTCATTCATTGCAACTCAGCAGCATAAGCAGTTTCGTGCGTTCTTTCAATTAACACTACTATACACTAGTAATACCAACTATACTCATCCCCCAGTAACAGAGTAGTGTGACGGTCGGTAGGGAACGTAAGGCGACATGGAGAAGTTCCGTTGCGTATAACAATAATGCGGTGGGTTACTAACTTGAGAACAACGGCTTCTGCGTTGAAAAGGAAGCTGAAAGGCCGACCAAAGTCAGATCGGATGCCAGACAATGAACATTCGACAGAGTTCGTACTGCTGTGGAAAACAGTCCCTCGCAGGCCCGCCCGAAAACAAGAGGCTTGCCGAAAATGTCTGACTGCTCAGTTACACGAATTTTAAGGTTAATTTTCATCCCTACAGATTAGTTAGAATAATAATCTGTTTAATGGTGTTATCCATACAGATAATCACGACAGAACCTTTTTTGCAGCTCATACTTATGTTTTATATAATTGAAAATCTCTCATTTAAGTAGCCTTAGTGGAAAATAAATAGTTACAAATAAATTGACAAGATTCTTTTTACATATATTTAACAAAAACAGCACAAAACGACATATAGCGTAAGTTGTCGAGATTTTATTACACTAAAATGACATACACTAAACCCAAGCACTAAACTACTAAACCCTTAGGATCCCCTCGGACTATGGTTTTTCTTAATAACTTCAAAAATTTACTAGACGCTTACCGAATGGCCTCTCTCGTTTTAAGAAGTGGAAAATCATGACCTCAGCAAACAATCACGAATACAGGACCCACTGCAATGGCTGTTGCCGCGATAGGGACAATCATCACGAATCTCGCCGCGATTAAGATATAACGTGATTAACGTGATTGCAATTATAATGGCGTTGCCACCAACGATCACACATCTTAGTGACGGCCTTTTAGTGAATTTCCTATAAAGGGTATAAGCTATTACCGTAGTACTCATGGTAATACCTCTGGACCCAGGATGGCTAGGCGTATAAAAGAAGGTGTGTGCACGCACATCCCCCACCCCTCCAATCAGCCAATCAAGTATTTACTGCTTTACTGTTTTTCGGTTAAATGGTACCATATAACTGTACAATATAACTAACTGTGGTAGTGTTATATTGTATAACACTACTACAGTATATTCATTCAATGTTGAATACAACGCTATATTGGATATATAAAACTAAATAGTGTTATATATTCAATGCTGATTCCTAATGATTGTCATTCGAAAGTCTTTGGAAAAAAACAAGAAAACATATGATTTGTTAAAATAAAATAATGGGTGATGGTGGGGTGGTAGCGGAGTGGGGGAAGAGCCATATTCTGTCTCACTCCCACAGCTCGGTATCTCTCTCTCGCACCAATGCTACGAGGAGGACGCTTTCTAAGTGGCCGACCTATAGCCTTTTTGCTAATTACATTGAAGACTGTAGGCCTAGTTTGTATGTAAAGTTTAATAATTCATAACATCTAATAAATTAAAATGTATGCCACAATTCATATTTGAAGTCACATTCAATTATTTGGCTTTTGTTTAGTTTGATATACAAAAATCAAAGTCCACCCCATCAATACTAACACCTTTTTTATATAGCCTATTTAAACAATCTTTACAGATCACAGCAGAAAAAATTCCTATATAACTGCTGCTGGTAGTGCGGTTTGTCCACTTAAAATCCTGCTGACGTTTGAAAAAAGCTCTTTGGGTCTTTTGGGATCTCTAAAGTAAAATATTTTGATGAAACCTCCCAAACTGATGATCCAATCTTATTCTTCTTAAATCCTATTAACTAAAATTAAGAAATGTCGCAGAGTAATCTGAGTTGTTTCTCAATATTTCCTTAGAGCATTTTTATATTCAACAATTAGTAGACTTAAGTCTGAACAATTCAAACTATTTTTATCTATCACAAAAGTGTATAAAATATTGAGCAACAACTCTTAAGTGATAGGGAGTGCCATATTTAGGATACTGGCGGCCCTTGGCCAAATTAACCTGAGCATACATCCCCCTTAGGTAGCACTTCCCTGCTATCGTTGCAATATTGTTACCATCTTCCGCTATGACGGGAAATCATCACTGCCATTCACAATTGTGGAAAAATATTAAACACCTCCTGCAATTATGGAGACATCCTCATCGCCATCTGTGATCAAGAAAAATTTTTTTAAATTAAAATTTTTCTTTTATCCTAAAAAATGGTTTTAGTACATAACTCCGAGGCACTTTTGTTAGGATTATTTTATTTATAAAATTGTAGGGCCCATTGCTAGAAGTATAACAACATATAATAACCTGCAGTTTGGAGCAACACAGTACATCAACTGATGTGAATGTAATGGCCAGGAGGAAGGCAGGGGAGTAGTCCTTGAAGTCACCAGGGCCAGACCACCAGTCTATGCAGTAACCTCCTAGCAGGGCGCTCAGTCCGAACCCCACTGTGCCCCAGACTCTCTGCTGGCCGTACTTTTTCTCATTACCTCCACCTGTACATCAAAGTTATGTTAAACTTTAACCATTACATTGCTAGAACATTCACACACCTGGTAAAAATCTTTGGATAAACAAAACACAAAATGGAAGGGAGTAGAGAATCAATAAAAATAGGGAAATGTATGGGAGCATTTTGGAGAAATCGAATGATGCAATTCCTGAAGCAATAAGCTGATGATTGAAGTTAACAGTATATTGGATTAATAGGAGGGATGAATAAAACAAATAAGGAAGGAAATCTCAGATAGGTGAAACTCCTTGATGCCCAAAAGAGAGGTGTAAAGATGAAGTAGGTCAAAGAAACTAGAATATTGAGAGCCAATGGAGAACAGTATTGATGGCCTGTGGAACTAATATAACCTGTATATATAGGCCTACACAAACTACTAAATACAAGATAATTTGTATGTACCAGTAATTTCCCATTTATGGGTTCAACAATGTAGGTAAAGCTATGTTAATATAACATGAGTTAATATTTTAAGTAGATTATGTTACTACTTACTGCTGTATTTAAACTAATAATTTTCTCTTATTGTGTATTCAATAGGCCTACGGTACTCTAATCAGAAATTCAAATTATGTAAATAATAGGAAAAAACAATATAATGTTCAGGTAAAAGCCCGCAAATCCAGAATCCAATCGTTTGGCACTTTAAATATTCCGGCATCAGTCTAAAATGCTCTTTTTAACAGACTACCAACAAAAGGAGGAGGTTCTCAATTTGTTTGTGGCAATTTTTTTTTCTATGTATGTTCACCAATTTCTCTGTGATTCTTTTACCGATCAGTGTGGTTCCACCACCAAAATAACCAGGAGAGTTTCTATTTGGTCCCATATATATTGTGTTTAAGTGTAATACTTCTTTCGGTGAAAAATGCTGAAAACCACAAATATTCAACATTTATTTTGTTTATATTTGTGCAGGGAAGGCAATAAATAATAGATGAGTGAACGAAGTGAACGAATCTATGTATCGTGTATAGCGGAGTCGGAGAAAAGTTGTCCACTTGTCCGTGTGTGAGTGTGTGTGTTCGTTCGCACCTAAAACTCAAGAACCGTTGCACTTATAGTGTTCAAATTTTGCACAAATAGTTATGACACCAGTGTAAAGACACCATTAAAATTCTAGACGATTCCGCTCAGTAGTAATTACAAAATACTTAAAAAACATTTTTAAATTTGTCCCATAAGAATAACATTAGGAGCTACCTTCTTCTTCTTTTTATTTGTTTACGTTTTACGACCAACAATTTTGTTGTCTACTTAAGACAGAGAGAACGACTTTTACTCTAAGCTCTTTCATTCATGGAGTAAACAGTTTGGCGTCTATGAATATGTATCATTATAATTTCACAGCTTTCTCAATAATGTTATTTAAGCTAATTAAATTTCACAACTTTCAGAATAATAAATTGAACTTGACAATATTAGTCGGCAGTTATATACCGTTTATGTTCAGTATTAAAATTCCCCTTTTAAATTAAAAGTATATAGGTATGTATGTATTTAGAACAAAGCACCTTTTTACATTATTCAATTTAATGTTGGCATTGAATATTAAATATTCAAAGATGTTGGTATATTTTTATTCTAAAATGCTATGCAAAGAGGGGGTGGGAAACAGGTCCACGACGTAGAGAGTGGTAAAGGAAGCGGAAAGGTGAGCAGTGAAAATAAAGGAGTACAGAAACCCTTTATGACTGTTAAATTAACGTATCTGTAATACTTAAATGCTATGGAAAGATAGGGAAACAGGTCTACGATGTAGGAAGTAGTGAAGGAAATAGTGAAGGAAGTAGTCAAGGCGAGCGCTGAGGAGTGTGGGGGGCCTTTATGACAGTTAGAATAATGAATCTGCAATTCTAAAAATGCTATGGGAAGGGAGAGAAACAGGTCCACAATGTAGGAAGTGGTGAAGGAAGTAGTCAATGTGAGCAGTCCGGAGTGTAGAAACTCTTTGTGACAGTTAGATTAATATACCTGCAATACTAAAGTGCTATAGGAAGGGAGGGAAACAGGTCCACGACGTAGGAAGCGGTGATGGAAGTAGTCAAGGCGAGCAGTCCGGAGTGTAGAAACACTTTGTGACAGTTGGATTAATGTAACTACGATTCTAAAATGCTATGGGAAGGGAGGGAAACAGGTCCACGACGTAGGAAGTGGTAATGGAAGTAGTCGAGGCGAGCATTCTGGAGTGTACAAACCCATTGTGACAGTTAGATTAGTGTAACTGCAATTCTAAAATGCTATAGGAAGGGAGGGAAACAGGTCCACGACGTAGGAAGTGGTAAAGGAAGTAGTCGATGCGAGCATTCTGGAGTGTAAAAACCCTTTGTGACAGTTAGATTAATGTAACTAGAATTCTAAAATGCTATGGGAAGGGAGGGAAACAGGTCCACGACGTAGGAAGCGGTGAAGGATGTAGTCAAAGTGAGCAGTCCGGAGTGTGGGAACCCTTTGTGAAAGTTAAATTAATTCTTTTGAAATTCTAAAATGGTATAGGAAGGGAGGGAAACAGGTCCACAACGTAGGAAGCGGTGAAGGATGTAGTCAAGGTGAACAGTCCGGAGTGTGGGAACCCTTTGTGAAAGTTAAATTAATCTATTTGAAATTCCAAAATTCTATAGGAAGGGAGGGAAACAGGTCTACGACGTAGGAAGTGGTGAAGGAAGTAGTCGAGGCGAGCATTCCGGAGTGTAGAAACCCTTTGTGATAATTATAATAATGTACAGTATCTGCAATTTTAAAAATGCTATGGGAAGGGAGGGAAACAGGTCCACGACGTAGGAAGTGGTGAAGGGAGTAGTCGAGGCGAGGAGTCCGGAGTGTAGAAACCCTTTGTGACAGTTAGATTAATGTATCTGCAATAATAAAATGCTATGAGAAGAGAGGGAAACAGGTCCACGACGTAGGAAGTGGTGAAGGAAGTAGTCAAGGTAAAAAGTCCAGAGTGAGGGAACTCTTTGTGATTAACTCTTTGTGATGGGAACTCTTTGACAGTTAGATTAATGTATCTGCAATAATAAAATGCTACGAGAAGAGAGGGAAACAGGAAATACATTATGTATATTACCAATGACTTTGGTTAATTAATGGACGAGAAGTTAGGATTGTTGTTGACTGAGATTTGGTTTTTTTTTAAGAGGTTGGCAGCCTCTTTTAACCTTGCATTTGCCCGTCCACATAGACTAAGCGCCCGTGCGTGGATCGTTTACAGCAATGCAAGGGGTGAGCCGGTACAGGACAAAGGTGAACTGTACTGATAAAATTTAGTGGCAGTGACCAGGATCCGAGCCCACGACATCGCTGCCTTGGGCCCGAAGTCCGCGTGACACTACCGACTGAGCCACCGACTCACCATTATTTGCCCCGACTCATGGGTTGATTTGCCTATACAAATAACATTATTGTGTTCACCAGTGACACCGGTAAGTATGCTAGGTGTGGGTGGACTCTTTCATTATTGCGCTCATGTTCACTCATCCCGTTACGCGCAGAATAAGCGTACTACTAGAAATAACATTCCTACAGCTGTTAGTTGAAACCATTTAAATGAAGCTACAGACAATTCTTCATGAAACAGTTGCTTCATATCAAAACTATTTCTTGCCATGGAGAAAATATATTACATTGAAAAAATGCATTTTGTTTTGGTTACTATAAAAAAAGTATTTCAATGTTTGACCTGATTTATGTATACAGTAATTCTGTTTTTAGTATTGAATATTCTGACTTATAAAAACATATATGTTTCAGTGAATAGCTGTATGATATTGACAAATAAAGGTGTATTGTGAAAACCAAAGCATTCGTAAAAGAGTTCTAAATATAAATTAAATGCAATTATTCCTTACACGACACGACCTAAGAAGTGTGAGAGTGCATAATCGTCAATTGTCTTAAAAGTGTTAAATATTTTAATTACTAAACATGCATTTGCAGATGTGGAATCTATATATATAATACGCTAAGCCGATTTTTGTAAACAGAACTCCTCCCTCATTTTTGGACCGATTTTAATTATTAAAGTGTAAAAAAATGGCCCTGATCTGTAGTTTTGCAAAGTGTTTTTCATTTTTGGAAATCATCATTAGTTTGGGCAGGATCTTCCATCAAACTTGAGTTTTCTCCCATAAGATTAACATGGGGGGATCTAAATATTTAATTGGAAAATTTGTCTCCACTAATTTGACAGAACGGCTGGGCATAGAAACTTCGTAGAGGTGTCCAAAGAAAGGTCTTGGTCTGTAGATGATTTATCAAAAGAAAAACGAAGTAAATTCCCTTAGGGCTCTGCCCCAGAAGCCTTTAAAGATGCCTCCACAGATTTGTATACATTTACTTACATATAATTTTTAATGAAACAGCTGTTAATTTTTAAATAGTAAATCAAACAACACATATTTATTGTTAGTTACTGAATTGTCTAAAAGAAGTATTTGCAATGTTATTTTATGATTTTAAAATTGATTTCCTACTGTATCATGTCATGTTTTGCAATATAACGTTCCATTACGAAATCAGTGAAAAATCCTTTTATCACAGAAACTCTTGCAATTATTTCTTATAGAACTATCTTATATCTATTTTACGGGTTGGTGTCTGCCTACCACTTTTGCTTATCATATAATATGTTATAATATGTATAATATGTTAATATATATTATGTTATCATAATATGTTAGCTTAACTTATAATATGTTATCATATTATTTTAGACATATCATCATAGGTTCATGAAATTATTGTCATACATGAAATGAAATGAAATGAAAAATGAAATGAAATGTTTATTCGTCACATAAGTTTACAAGATTGTGATTTTCACATATAAACATATGACATGTCAATACCACTTTACTATCTAATAATACCTTATGCTAAATTCTTTGTTTTTATCAATCCATAAAACCTAAAGCTAAGTTTTTATAAAATCATCTAGGGAATAAGGAGACAAGAGAATGAGATAAGATTTTAGTTTTCTTTTAAAGGATGACATATTTTCTTCAGTTTTAATTTGATCTGGGAGGTTATTGTAAATTTTCCTACCCATGTACCATGGCGATCCTTCATACAGAGCTGTTCTATGCACAGGATATTGAAGATCATTCCTGTGTCGGGTGTTATATTGATGAGTGTAATTTTTCAACATAAATTCCTTATAATTTCTTTTTACAAAGATGCACAGTTGAAAAATATAAACTGCATAAATTGTCAAGAGTTTCATCTGAATAAAAAGGGGGCGGCAAGAGGAACGTGGTCTGGTATCAGCTAAAATTCTAACGGCAATTTTTTGTAAGATAAAAATATTCTTGGTAATGGGGGAGCTGCCCCATGAGATAATACCATAGGAAGACCTAGACATAAAATAAGAATGATACACAGCAAGAGCTGCATGCAAACCCGAAGACTTATAAACCACCCTTAGACCAAACAGTGCTTTTGCTAGAGACAAGCTAATTTGTATTTGATGATCAGACCATTTTAGATTTTCATTTATGTTTACACCCAGGAATTTAGTATTTGCAGAAGATTTTATGGAATCACCTGATTTTAGTTTGATTGTTATCTCACCTGCCTTCAGTTGTGGATTATGGAAATGAAGAAGATGAGTTTTGGAACAGTTTAGATGTAGTCCGTTTTGTGCAAACCAAGTTATCATGGAATCTAAATCTCGGGATGCAATGTTAGTTGCGGAAAAAATAGAAGGTGCTCTTACTAGCATTGTTGTGTCATCAGCAAATTGAATAATTTTGGAAGAAATTGAAAAAGACAAGTCATTGATGTAGAGGATGAACAGAAGAGGCCCCAATTTAGATCCCTGCGGAACACCATGGGTTACTGAGCTCCATTCAGAAAAATGTTTGACACCGGATTTATCTTTGATGACAACCTGCTGATATCTGTTAGTGATGTAACTAGAAAACCATGAAAAAGATGATCCAGATATCCCATACAATCTCAATTTCTCCAAGAGAATGTCATGCCTGACACAATCAAAGGCCTTAGACAAATCACAGAAAACACCAAACACATGTTTTCAATCATTAGAAAAATCTTCGATAATTAAGGCTGAGACAACTAACTGACATTCCCTTGTCAAGGAATTCCAGCTTTAACAGTAATCCCACAACCAATTTGTCAAACCTATGATAGAGGGTTATTCATTGGCACAGAAGTACGATATGAACTGACGCGACGTGACGAAGGAAAAATCAAACTTACACTGTAACGGATATACCTCCCTTTGAAGTTAGAACGTGTCTTCCCAACAATGCTAAATGCTCAAAATATGTATAATTTCACTCAATTTATCGCAGTTAGATGAATTAGTGTAAGCCTTGAAAGTAACCGTCGATTTCGACGGGTTTCACCTAGTGTTAATTAATATTCTCTACCCAGTTACTATATCATATCAATACTATTATGCCTGCTCCGGAAAGTCCTAGAGGAAAATGATTTGCAATTTCGACTAGGCTATATCTTGAGCAAACAAAACACCACCTACCCGGCTTACACCACTTTTAGCTGAACTGAACCAATCTTTCATATACATATTTTCCAAAGGTACTATACGTGATAACAACCAATTTTCTACTTTTGAGAGATTTTTTTAGTGCTGGTAGCTGAGGAATAACTTTCATATTGTTCCAAAAGGCTTGAGACGTTACTGTATTTCTTTTTATAATGTAGAAGTACACCGATTGCAGGAAACTATGATGTCTGACATTTCAATGTCTCTAGAAAACAATTTAGTTTTTAATTGGGCCTAATGTAATGGACAACTCTTTGTTTTTTAAGGAATATCTAAAAATGTTTATTTTTATACCCATTGATTATGTAACCTGAACCACCTGTTCAGTATGCTACTCAAGCAGTTTTAAAATAATGATTGTTCTGTGGCACTTTTGATTGTTTGAAACAGTTTTGCTTATCAAAAAACCTCAAGTAATTAATATATAACAAATTATACAGTCACTAAAAATCATAAAATAATTTATTTTTGTAAAAAAATACAACCGACTTCAAACGCTCTAAGAAGAATGAAATAATTTCAATAAAGTAAACTTTTGTATTGGTCAAGCTCTCGTACTTCAAGTCTGTACTAACTGGCTCTAACTACAAATATGATTAAAATAAAATATTGTGTGTGTATTTTGAAAATCAATAAATTGTAGCTGGATAACATAAATATATAAAAAACATACTGAACTGTTTTGTTTATATATCAAAGGAAGTATTTTCTTGTATTTTATATTTACTTCAGAATGAATTCATTATGAAAATAACACACACAAATGTTCTATGAATAGGAAAATAATTTATTTTGATATTATGATAGGGGGAAAAAGATAGTTTAATATTAAAACGTTACTTTTCCGAGTCAGAAACATTCAAATGCATTGTAATCTTTTTAAAGATACTAGTTAATACCACTATAATGCCAATCTTTGGTTACGGTAATAAAATAACACCCAACGCATAACTATGAAAAAGACATGCAGATTAACACCTTTAGTTATAGATAGTCACCTGCAATATGGACATCCTCATTCAATTTTGTATCAAAAATCATCATAGCATAATAAAACAAAAGCTTTATGGAATATTGTAAATAAACATAAAAATAAGTCAAGCAAATGTAGAGTAGATAATTATTTTAAGTCAGATGAATTTAATGAATATTTTGTGAATACTGCCTGTGATAATGTAAATTCTAGTCAAAATGTAGGAATAAGTAATTGTTGTAACTTTACTAATTATTTAAGGAAAAAAGTAGTACCTGATAGTGTTAGAGATTTAGTTTTTAAATATGTGACGGAAAATGATGTTTTAGATGTAGTAAAACAGTTAGCTCCAAAAAAAAGCACGGATCATTTTGGAATGACAAATGCTCTCAATAAGGAGACCATACCTTACTTAGTAACCCCATTAACAATTTTGATTAACAACTGTATGGCTCAAGGTGTGTTTCCTGATATCATTAAAATAAGTAAAGTTCATCCTATTTACAAAAAAGGGAAAAAAGATGAAATAGGTAACTATAGGCCTGTTGCCATTGTTCCTGTTCTGTCTAAAGTTCTTGAAATAGTTATTGGTAAACAGTTAATGCAACACTTAGAATCAAATCAACTCCTTTGTACAGAACAGTTTGGATTTCGTAAAGGGCTTTCAACGACACATGCCATTACTTCCTTGGTTGATGAAATTCTCGACTGTTATGAAAATAAGGATTTTGCTGCAATTACATTCTGTGATCTTAGTAAAGCTTTCGATCGAGTATCACATGAAATTTTGTTAAAAAAATTAGAATATTATAACATTAAAGGTAAAGTGTTAGATTTATTTAGATCTTATTTGTCAAACAGAACACAGTATGTAGTTTTGGGAGAGGATGCATCATCTATTAAGCCTGTGTATTGTGGAGTTCCCCAAGGATCTGTGCTTGGGCCTCTGTTGTTTTTGGTAGTAGTTAATGATTTAAGTGTTAATATCCCTGCAAATATTGTATTATATGCCGACGACACAACCATCATTACTAGACATGCAGATCATGAACAACTTTTGGTTGACTCTATGCATAATCTAAAGCTAGCTGAAAACTGGTTAATTTCTAATAATCTTGTTCTAAATAATGATAAGACAAAAACTGTTTTGTTTAACCTTCGTGAAGCACACAGTAGGCCAATGGATGAGAGAAATCCAACATTTTTAGGATTAACTTTTGATTCTACTTTGACCTGGCATGACCATGTTATAGTTTTAAAAAATAAACTGAGTTCAAGTATATTTGCTCTTAAACAATTATGTGGCGAACTAGAACGGCCTTCTCTCATACAGGCATACTATGGACTTTTTCATAGCCATATAAGCTATGGGTTGCTTGTTTGGGGGTCTTCTGCTCATGCAAAAGAAATTTTCAATTTGCAGCAAAAGGCAATTAGGGTAATAGCTGCTGTAGATAGGCACCATGATTGCACTGAATTTTTTAAAGAATACCAAATATTAACACTGTTTTCTCTATTTATTAAGCAATGCCTGTTATGCTTAAGACCACAATTAGATAAGTTAGATTATAGGAGAGATATACACTGCCATAATACTCGCCATAAATGTAATATAAATCTTCCTTATGTTAGACTTGCTAAAACTGATAAAAAACCATTAATTTTAAGCAGTAAATTTTATAATAAGTTACCAATAGCCATAAGATTACTTAATGATAAGGATTTCAATATTAAAATAAATAACTTTCTTTGTAATCAGCCATTATATTCAATAGAAGATTATATGTCAAGAACACTGACTCCACTAGATTTTAATTAATGTTATATTTTATGACTAATTTGACGTGCCAATGTATTTGTATGGATTATTAACTGGCAAATAAAAATCTCATTCTCATTCTCATACTCATTCTCATTCTCATTCTCATTCATAGAGCCGCAAAGACTTAAAATACAAATTAACGCTTGACTAATACAAAAGTTTACTTTATTGAAATTATTTCATTCTTTTTAGAGCGTTTGAAGTCGGTTGTATTTTTTTACAAAAATAAACTATAAGATATATTGGTGCGTTTGGCAGGGTCGATAGCGATCAGCAGACTTGGGAGCGATCCGCAGATCACAAGATTGGGAGACGAAGGAAGCAAACAGCAGACGTCGGTTGCACTCAGTTGAATTCAGGGGTGTTGAATTTAATTAAATTTTAGCATTTTATATCACAACTAAAGTAAGAAAAAGCACAGTTAAACACATAATAGTGGCTTGCCGGCCAACAATTTAACTTTGAAAATCACAAAAGTAGTATTTTGTCACCAGCCTTGTAATAATGTCTGGTTTTAGAAGCTGTTCAGTAATCCGGCACCATCAATGTCACGAAGGTTCCAGATTTGCGAGAGTCTAGAGTATTTAGTTTACTATTTGTTTTTACTAACCTAATAGATCAAAACAAATGGCATCGCTAACACTATTGGCAACGTTGTAACCAACGCTTCCTGCAGATAACAATATCACAAAGAGCCAAAACGGGTAGCTCTGGTAGAACTCTGTTGAACTTTGGCTGCAGCTCAAAGTGACATTCATTTGTGGGTCAGGACAGGTCAAACTATCCATGGAACAGAATGTTTGGTTGGCCAACTCAATGTGTTTAGTTGGAAAACTTCCATTGTCGTAACTCAACTTGCAGAAGCTGTTTCCCACATCACTCTAAAACACATATTAACTTTGTTAGCTGTCAAATAAATTCAAATTCTTTTGCACGGTCGTAATTAGGTTTTCAGCATTTATGCACACAGAGAATATTGGCACCCCTCTTCTGATGTTTAAATGATAACTTACATAATTTTGACACGATAATTTAGCACAGTAAAATTGTAAAACCCTAGTTCAGGAACTAATAGCATTGACTATTGGATAAAGAAGTAGACATCCCATCTATATGGACCAGCTGTCACTGATTTTTACAAAAAAAATAATGTAGTTGTGTGAGTCAGTCACAGAATGTGCTAGTGCCTAAAATGTTATTTTCAACCTTATTTTTCCTTGCTGACAAAGTTGATGGGTCATAACAGTTGCTATAGCCCATAAGAAGTCGTTCCATCAGTTTAACTTTGTAAACAACATTGAGTATTCAACAGAAATTCGTTAGATCAGCACAATCTGTAGGTGGCTCACATCAACTACAACAAATAATTTTAAAAACTGGTGCTAACTTTAACATGGGAGCTAATAGTACAAGGCTATCTTTGTTCCTAACCAACTGATGTTTGTTCCTGTTAAATGCCATGTCAGTTGATTGGCTGGTAGCCTACCTAGGCTAGTATATCTAGTACCATTGACTAGTCAAAGAGGGGTAGCGGATTTCTACCCCCGGATATTTACCCCCATGAAAAAACTCCTACGTCATTTTGACGTCACGAGGGGCGGGGCCTATGCACGGTCGAGAAACAGCCCGCGACTGGAAATTTACCCACAATATATTATTAAATAATCAACATGTAATTGTTTGATTATAAAGTGATTTGCCATAGCACGGAAATCTACCCCCGGACATCTACCCCCAGAAATCCACCCCCAGACATTTACCCCCGGATATCTACCCCCAGACATTTACCCCCGGATATCTACCCCCGGACATCTACCCCCAGACATCTACCCCCGGACATCTACCCCCAGACATCTACCCCCGGACATCTACCCCCAGATATCTACCCCCGGACATCTACCCCCAGACATCTACCCCCGGACATCTACCCCCGGATATCAACGGCTCTTTGGTTAAGCATTGTCTTGAAATATCCAGTATAAAGCATGCGATATGTCATTGTCTTGTTTAACATTATCTATCTTCCTAATTCAATAAGCTGTAACAGTCCTTTTTCACCCTACCTACTTCGCCGATTGTTACGATTTAGGTGTCATTTTAAAGCTTAAGATCTTGCGCAGAGCAAAATGGCAATTAAAAAGGATATTTTGATTAGGGCTTCAAAAGGTTGACCCCTAAGCCTTTGATTTATTCCTAGAAGGTGCTTCCAATGGTTGACCAACTTTCACACTATACAGTAACAGTTTTAAAGGTGAAATGTGAGCAGATTACTAATCAGTTCAATTTTTAAGTCAGGTTAAAAACAAGAATAAATCGTCTGCAACTGTAAACAAGAGATGGAACACTACCCCAAAACGACTTTTCGTTCTCAATTGGCCCTCTGTCAATAACCTGTGTTGCCTGTACAGCGAGGCATTTTGAGAAGAAGAAAACCGGCCGGATGAATGCTTTAAGTTTATCAATAACGAAGATAAACATGATTTTAGTTACACACCGGTAATCTTTGAGTTGACTCATTTAAACTCATTGTAAATATTCATTGTTATTCATTTTGAAATAACTCCTTTAATACTTTGCAATTGCTCGAACTTGAGCAACATGTACACTAGTTACATATTATTGCACTTACGATTTATTTGATCCGTTTATTTAAGTGAGTCACAACGTTTTTAATCTTACTTGGTTTTGGATTTTATTACAAAACGTGATCGGAAATGGTTGCAGTATTTGTAAACAAAATGTAATAACAAATTTCCAGTGACAGCAAGAAAACTTTATCCAGCTTTTCATCTTTCTCAGCTGTTCGTTATTTCATTGATGTCGTATTCTCCAAACAAACATAGGAGTAGCCTAAACTTGACAAAAATGCAAAAAATTGGGGGTTTGAACAAAATTTATTTTAATTCAAAAGTAGTGAGGCCATATTTTAATGTCACTTGTTAGTTACTCGTGTCAATCCACCGAATCCAAAAAGACTATTTAAATCGAATCACGATCGATGCTCTAGTTTTTGAGAAGAAGGCCACGTAAAATGCCTTCTGGGCCTTGACAGACAAGACAGAAATTGAGATAAAGACTTGTTTTGGCTTCTTTAATGTATGCAGCGTAAAAATTACCAAAAAATATATAATTTTAAGTAATGTTCATACTAAGCTCTAATTTCATTAAAATAAATTCGTAAAACCAAAGAACCATGAGGTAAAAATACCTTCCCTATCCCGAAATATCCAATTTTATTCTTTTACATTATTCTCCGTTATTTCACAACCAGCATTGACAACCAGAACCAATCATAAAATATGTTTATGTTTTATTTTTTACGATTAATTATTTGTGTAAACAACTAGACTTTTTAGTCAATGTAAAACTCCAGATAGTGTCTACGACGAAGGGATTATGCTATTTCGTATTACTAGGAGGTAAATTGATAGTGAAAAAATTATTAATTCATTAATCAACGTGTGGCAGGCTTTTTATCAACATTTAATTGCATTTTTACCACTAGTAATCAGAAAATAGCCTCCTTCAGTGATATGTTTTAAATTTCACGATCTGCGCTCGTGCATATGCCGTTAGCTATGAGTGTATGTGAAAATCACTGTCTGAAAATAAATCAAATGCTTATGGGTTAAATTTTTTGAGCCCTTTATCAAAATATCCTTTTTCTTTAACATTTGCGTTGCACTGAATCTTAAGCTTAAAAATGACACCTAAATCAGTTACAGCTTAATGAATTGGGAAGATGGATGGCATTAAACAAGACAACGACATATCACATGCTTAATACTAGATGTTAGAGGGTAATTATTAAACGAAGAGCCATTGATTTTTTTTATAAACCAATTACTAAAATCAACTACAACAATAAATATTGGCCGATACGTAGTTTAGCACAGGGGGGTAGACCTCCGGGTGTCGGAAATAAATAATTCCGGGGTCGGGCATTTATTATTTGACCACTGGGGGTATATTTCTGGGGGTAGATTTCCGGGGGTAGATGTCTGGGGGTAAATGTCCGGGGGTAGATGTCCGGGGGTAGATGTCTGGGGGTAGATGACTGGGGGTAGATTTCCGGGGGTAGATGTCCGGGGGTAGATGTCCGGGGGTGGATGTCTGGGGGTAGATTTCCGGGGGTAAAGTTCCGGTGTCAGGTTTATTAGCATTTTGATTAATTACAACTGTTAAGTAAACCGTGAAATGCGAGTTGATTGAATATATAATAATGTATCCATCCTAAAAGTTCGCGGCCGGAAATCTACCCCCATACATGTGACGTCAAAGTGACGTAGGCGTTTTTTCATGGGGGTAAATATCCGGGGTAGAAATCCGGCGACCCATCAAAGATAATAATCTTAGTAGTAATAGGCTAGTACTCTTGTATGTGAGTGATCCATAAGAAAACCGAGAGCACCGAGAATACATAGAATATTACTTATTCTATTTATCACTAGCAGCTGTACCCACGCTTTGCAACAGGGAGGACAAAAAATAATAATAGTGTTCCCCATTGTACACATATTACTAACTATTTTACTATATTTAAACTAATTTACTATACAGGGTGTTTTTTTAAAAACTTGCATCTTTATTTATGTAAAAACCGCAATAGATAGAAATATGCAGTTTGCGGGAATCATCTATTGACGTAGGGGGCCCAATTGTTTTGAATTCAACGTTACATTCACATTCCCTCCCTTTCCCCCCCTGCCCACAACTTAATTTTTTTAAATAGCAAGGTACCCCTTGTGACATATCAAATAAAAGAGCATGAAAAAGAAAATGTTTGATGAAAAAAAATTGAAAATCGGTTCATAAATTTGTGAGATATTTCCCCCCCCCCTTCCCCGGAACTTGATTTTTTTTAATAGCAAAGTACCCCTTGTGACCTATCAAATGAAAGAGCATGAAAAAAGAAAATGTTTTGTGTAATTTATTTTTCATTTGATATGTCACAAGGGCGGGTACCTTGCTATTAAAAAACAAGTTATGCGTAGGGGAAAAGGGGGGGGATTAACTCACAAATTCATGAGCTGATTTTAAATTTTTTTTCACCAAAAATTTTCTTTGTTCATGCTCTTTTATTTGATATGTCACAAGGGGTACCTTGCTTTAAAAAAAAAATTAAGTTCCGGGGGGGGGAGGGGGGGAATATCTAACAAATTTATGAATCGATTTTCAATTTTTTTTCATCAAACATTTTCTTTTTTCATGCTCTTTTATTTGATATGTCACAAGGGGTACCTTGCTATTTAAAAACATTAAGTTGTGGGCAGGGGGGGAAAGGGGGGGAATGTAAATGTTACGTTGAATTAAAAAAAAATGTGCCCCCTACGTCAATAGATGATTCCCGCCAACTGCATATTTCTATCTATTGCGGTTTTTACATAAATAAAGATGCAAGTTTAAAAAAAAACACCCTGTATAATTACAGTGGAATTACAAATTTAAATGATAGTCTTTTGGAGATATCTAAAAAATAGTAGCCACTGGCTTTCCTTTAAGGCCAGCCCATCCAGCTTGAACTTTTGTGTGACACTATCCAACACTTGTCAATTGTAGATTAGTTCACAACTTTTTCCAGCCGAAAAGCCTTTGTAAAACTAAAAAGCTAAATTTAGCAAGATCTTCAGATTAGCTAGTAAAGTTGGAAGGGTTTCCCTGCGATGTATGCATAATGCAATCGTACATGCACAAAATGGCATAGGAAAACCTACTTACTAGTGCACCAATTTTTTAGTTAAAAAATAATTTCTATACTTGGTATTACTGTAGATTTATAACTTAAAATTTTACACAGCTTTTTTTAAGTATTGTAAAAATAGTTTAATCAGTATGTCAATAAAATATTTTTTAAACTTATAGTTCAGTAAGAAGTTATGAGTTTAAACCAAGTGAGTTTATTATTTACTCTAATATTTCATTGTTTGTGATTTTCATCTATCTATAATATGCTAGGCAAATTTTTGCCATAATTGTTTTGGAGTGGTGGTGCTACCGATCACCATGTCCAAGGGGTCGTTAGAAAGGTCTTAGCATGTAGTTTTGCCATCAAACAAAAAAACTTTGGAATTCCAACAGGGCTCTGCCCCAGTGGCCTTCAAATTCCCCATAGGGAGAAAATGTTTGTTTACATTTGAACAGATGAATACTTTGAAATTGACACTAATATTTGAAGCAGCTGGTTATACAAAAATTTTGCACAAAATCAAAACATAACCAAAAAACATTCGACCTAATAGAGACTATAAGACATTGACCAGGACGCCCAATAGGAGCAGGCCAACAAACTTTAACTGGTAGACGCGAACGAAATACAAATAATACTATTATTGTCGTTGATAACCGAATACAGCAAGCACCCTTCCGTGTTGGGTTTAAGTGTGCTCTCCAACGGCCGCCTGAAGATTTCACATTCAATTTAGGACTGTTGGTTAATCGCTGCATAAGCTGTTGATTTTGGAAGACAAGGAGTACATTGGTAGGAGTACATTGGTAGGAGTACATTGGAAACAGAAGAGAGGAGATATTAGATGAGTGGCAAATGCGTTAGGAACAGAGTGTTTTATGTTAACGTTTTAAAGGTAAACGTTCGGATATATACCTAAATCAGAAAGAGACTGGAACAAGATTGGGAGACGGGCCATTATGAAACGCAGTTTGTCACAGAACATGGAAAATGTCAAGGCAAATTTGTGAAGATTTCACATGGTGGAAGAGGAAGTATGTAGATGTGGAGAAATAAAAACCGCGAGTCACGTATCTATAAATTTGTCACTTCAGGAAACAAATTGGAGAGAACCGGAATAAGTCTTGGATAAGATAGGTCTAGAGATGAGAAAATAAAACATGATGAGAGACATGAAACAATTGAGACGTTTAGGAAATTAGCTAGGGAAATAGGAAAACTCAGGGATACATACAGACGTTAAAAAAACAACCAACAAAAACTAAGAAAGAAAAGGAATGAAAACTTGCCCATAAAGGGAAGAGGAAATGTCGTGCTGTTAGGCTTTTGGACACATAATGTGTCTGGAAACATAATGCGGCTATGAGTAAAGGCCATTTGTAGAAAACACTATTTACAATAAATGTTGATTATATCGATCTGTTATGTACATCTTGAGTATTTCCATAATCTTTGAGTTGAATATTTTAACCCTTCGAGTGTCCCTAGTTTTGGCCTTAATGTCTGCCTATTTTTTGCGCATTTGCAAGGTTTTATTAAAACGGATCTGAGAAGCTTAAAAACAATGTTAACTGTTCTATATACCATTTTGTTTGGAAAATCATGGGCTTCAATATTATACATAAAACATAAGGAACATTTGTTTCAAAAAAATTTTTTAGGTAAAAAAAATATTTTGGAAAATTTTCTAAAGAAAAATAAGTTTGCGCTCAATGAAATTGTATAAATTATAGGCCTATAAATATTTGAAAATAGCCACTTTGTTCTAAATTTTATGAGGATTACAAATATATAATAATATAAGGAAGTAGATTTGCAAATAAATAAGTTATGGGCAAAAAACAGATTTCAGTACATAGCGTTTGTTTAGCTAAGAATGCATAGCCTAACCATAGCTAGGAATCTGGCAGATAATTTACATCAATATCACTACCTACTTCTTCAGGATTATCAACCAGCCCTTCAGAATCACTTAAATCTTCTTATAATGCACCACGTATATCACTACTTTTGATTTTTAACCCTAAAACAATGATAAACGTAATAAAACACATCAGTCATCGGTGCGAGGTTAACCAAGCTGTTTACAAATACGCACGTCAGCTGTCTGCTACAATTATGATCGGCTCGAGAAAAAAAAGCGCTTAGAGACAGACCTCCGGAGAAAGCTTAGAATCTGCCAAATAAAACGATACCTAACTCGATCCAGTTCAATCTGATTTTGTCAGTCATAGAGCCTTCGCCGTAAACAGTGTTTGTGAGTCGAAATTTTGACACAAAACACTACACAAATTGTGTTATGTGTTGAAGCTTCAACAAATAACACTCGGAGGGTTAAAGTCATAAGAAATTATGACTGCTATTCGTTTTAAAATAACGCCTTTAATACTTAGCAATTGCTAGAATCCTAGCAACAGGTACACTAGTACTTATTTAATACGCAAGCAGGTTTTTTGTGACAATTACTCCTCCGAAACTACTGAACCGATTGACATGTTTTTGGTGTCATTGGAAAAAGCGTAATGTGAAGTTGTGCAGGAAACTTTCTGTTTAAGTAAATAATAAGAGAGTGAGGCCCTGGGGCCCTTTAAGTTTTCGTATTTCTCCATAAGATTAACATGGGAAACAAACATTGTTATGAAACTCCAGCTGTTGTCAGAAATTAAAAGTGAGAAGAAGAACATATGTTAATTGTAAACAGTAAAAAAGTTTGCTAATTTAACAGTTTGCTACAAACTTGTACTGACTTGGTTGAAATGAAATATTTACTATTTGAATTTGTACATCTTGTTATGTACATCTTGAGTATTTCCATAATCTTTTTGAATCTTTTAAAATCATCAGAAATTATGACTGTTGTTTGTTTTAAAATAACGCATGTAATACTTAGCAATTGCTCGAATTCGAGCAACAGGGTCAGTAGTAATTGTTTAAATAATAGAAAAAAAACCATAGTACCTTTTTTTTAATAGTACCATATAGCGAGAAATAAATGTTATACATAAAAATACATAAACAAATGTTACTATTAAAGTATGATATATAGGGTGTCCCACGAAGGGGTTTAAACGTTTGATTTTATATTACGCGCCCATTCATGCACCAAACTTTTTGAAACTTTACACAGTTTACAAAGTAGGTTCTAAAAATATTCTGGAAAAATTTCAACTCCCTAACCTTAGTAGAAACAAAATGGCGGCATATTGAAAAAGTTACTTTAAAAACATTAAAAAAGGTATTTTTGGTTTTATAAAATATTTTTATTGTTACTTTCCAGGGCAATATGACTTTTAAACAACAAAAAATTAGAACATAGCCAAATGGAAAACTAAAAACTAATCAAATAACTAATAAATAAAAATAATAAATAAATAACTAATAATAAATCATGAAAGTAGTTTTTATAGAAAGCACATTGGTAAATTTGTCAATAAGCCGCCATTTTGTTTATACTAAGGTTAGGGAGTTGAAATTTTTCCAGAATATTTTTAGAACCTACTTTGTAAACTGTGTAAAGTTTAAAAAGGTTCGGTGAATGAATGGGCACGTAATATAAAATCAAACGTTTAAACCCCTTCGTGGGACACCCGGTATAACAGAAACAGTATAAGCCTTCATGGGTTTTTCTAAAGATTAACTATTCCACAGCTGATAAGATAATGCTTCATCTTGCCAAGATAATACAACTTCTGAGAGCCTGATAATTAACTGAGGAAGAATTCAATGTATTTCTTTATTGTGTAACAAAGCTATTTTGTAGATATATTTTAAGCAAATTGAAAACACACATCATAATCATGATACTCCTACAAATCATAAATGGGCTAAGCTATTTTGTTCTTACATTATTATGACATGCTGCTATTGATCCACATGGTGTTTGAACATGAACGTCTTTGTAATGAGGAACAAACTTGATTAGTGAGAATTGCACTGTGGTTGAAATTACTAAAGCTAAAAATACAGTTTTCCTCTGGTTTTGAAAGTAGTCAACAATAAATCCAAATACTGGTTTGGCAATCAAGAAAAATATTGGTATGACAGACATTAGTAAACCCATTGCAACTTCGGACACGCCAAGTTGTTTACCCATCACAGGCAAGAAGGGAAGTATAGGTCCCATTCCTAAAACAAATAGGCTATATCATCATTGTATCAAATCTAGGAAAACACTGAAATGAGCAAAATTCACAGCTACCGGTACCTAAGATGCAGTTTTAAGGGTTCTTAAGAAAAGATTGTCCACAGTTAAGTAGTACCATAAGATTGTGTCATCTTCCATTAACGCAAATTATATATATATATATATATAATATATTCATATTCTTAAAATACACCACAGTAGACAGTATATTTAAACCTTTAGAGTAGGAAAATAAAAAATAAAAAACAATTTATTGATTCTGGAGCCTGCTCTGAGAGGGGTCCTAAACCCAAACCAACTAGGATCACCACACAATATATATGTTACTCTCAAACTTACCAGGGTCACAACTCGATGTGTTGACTCAAACATACCAGGGTCACACATTGTTTCATTAAACTTTACAGTGGCTAAAATGTATTCTTTCCTTCGGCAGAATCTTATGGAGAAACTAATGAAGACTCAATTCAACCACGCGGAAGATAAATCCTACTAATTGGGGCTGGAAGTCATCTAAGCATGGGATACTTCCAAATCCAACATATGTTGAAGCTGCACCACCAGATATTCTTAACACAATCTCACGTACGTGTGCAAAAGGGTGTAGGGTGTGTTTATGTCGGAGCTGCGACTAGCGATAAGAGCAGCGATGCGAGCAGCGATGCAAGCTGTGATTATTTCTCTGCTCTCATACTGTGTTTATGTTGGAGCTGAGATAGTAGCGTTGTGTCAAGTGGTTGAAGATGAGTGACTCTGAAGAAGAAAATTTAGTTTTTTCTTCTTTTTCCATATAGGCCCTACTTTGTATAGAGAAAGAAAGTAATAGACCTTAGACGTTATTGGCTTTTACAATTCAAGGATTAACCAATCATTTTTGTTATAATTTTTCAAAAACCACATTTTATAATGAGTTTTGAATATTGATATGGTCTTATTTGTCAAGTTCTTTCATCTAATATTTTTTCTTTCGCAGAGGATACGCGACCGGTAACCGGACGTGGATTAGGCGTCCGGCAGTTACTGTCATAACCTAACCTAACCAACCAAACTTGCTGATAGTGAAAAAAATCAAATGAAGGTTCAATTCTCTTCATAACATAAAATTATAAATGCCAAAAATTCTAACAAAAGATGTACAGTTAAGAAGAAATTACATTCAAAGCAAAATCTGTGACAAAAAGTTAATGATACCGATGGGTTTCGAACCGGGGACCCCTCTCATATCAGCCGAGCACTCTATCCACTACACCACAAACACTGATGGCTGAAAATCGTATCATTGTGGTAATGGCGTTCCGGGACCCCCTACCGGACGCGTAATCCACGTCTGGTTACCGGACGCCTAATCCACGTCTGGTTACCGGACGCGTATCCTCTGTGTTTTTCTTTAGCCTTTTTAGAATTAATTGGAACAGCTGATGATTTTAAAATGATTCATATTGTACAAATAAAACATTCCTTTCTGTTCTTCTTGTAAACATGGTTTACTATTTTTTTCTCTCTAGGTGAAAACAACGATAGAGATCACAACGAACCTGTTGTGATGGTTTTTGTCCGGTTTCGTAAATATTTCCGCCACTAAACTTTCAATATCCATCTTTGCACGACCAACGACACTAGCTGAGAAAAAGGACTGAAGCATTGTCACAGCTACTATCGCTGGTCGGGACCCAAGAGAGATTTAAAGCGCAGCTCCAAAGTAAACAGACCCATTGAAATACACGCACTAATTGTCTAGGCTCTAATGGCATCGCTGCTCTTATCGCTAGTCGCAGCTCCGACATAAACGCACCCTAAAAGTGTTTGCAATTGTAGGAAGAACGGAGTCAAATGCACAACAATTTGCTACCACTGTAAATGTGTTTCATGCACCAACCAACCAGAGAAAGAAAAACCACAAATAAGCTATGACGCGCAATGTGACTTGGATGAGGTGTACAGTACAGAGGAGGAGGCAATATGACCTGCAATTCCGGATTCACCACTAAAGACACAAAAAAATCTCATGAGTTTTTTGTAATTTGTATTAATTACTTTGTGTCGCCTATAATAATGCACTTGGAATCCATTTTCTATAAGTATATAAATGTTAAATTATTTCTAAATAAAATAATTTAAATAAACTTTTTTAAATTATGATAAATCACTTAATATTGGTTTGATTTTTATCACCAGATGCTCAATGGATGTGAAATTTTGTGTTCTACAATTCTTTTACGATGTGTTTTTCTTTAGAATGGATGGTTTTTTTACGCTTTATAGCAAAAAATAAAAATTAACCCTAAATTTCAAGGTTTTTGTAGTTGCAGGTCAGAAGCTCGCCTGAAAAAATGGGACAAACATCAAATCCTTTTACTTCTATATAAAACAATTAAAACGATTTTAACCTTTCCAGGAATTATTTCCGGGCAAAAACCTATTTTTACTGGCCTAATAACCAATTTAACTTAACTGTGAAAAAACACTTCAATATAGTAAATTATTTGTTGTTTTTGGCATTTGAGTTAATCAGTTTACCCACAACACTTTCTGGGCGTTTTGCTTCGGTAATGGTTAAATAAAAGGTACTTACGTATTAAACGGAGGCCCCCTAACATGCGATTTTTTCACCATCAGCAAGTTTGGTTGGTTAGGTTAGGTTAAGATAGTTTAATTTGATAAAAAAACATATATTTATGATAACCCAACCTAACATAACCGCTGCAGCGCGCTGTTGACCAGACACAGTGACAGGCGATGACAGGTAATGGCGCACGCTCCGGTCAACGACCCTGACCTTGGCCTACTTGGAGGGGATTCTGCGAGTAGACACATGATTCATTTGATAACGCTCGACTCACAACAATACTAGAATAGTTCTACTACAACATCTATAACAATTTAACCCTCTATAAGTGCCGCGGCGCGTTTCGTAATGGTGGCCTCCGTTTAATACGTAAGTACCAAATAAAATGTCCATTCCGCATCATGAGTATTTCACACTGTCCACATCGCGACGTGGGTACGCATTTCGAACTTTTTCCGAATTCGGGGTTTGAGCGTAACATATACATTACAGTCAAGATTAGTCATCCTAATCTAAAGAACACCTTAAAAAAGTTTACCTATAGTTACTTAGATTTTTGAACACTGTGTACCATCAACTCAAAAAAATATTATACTTAAGGGGATGTTTGGGGTTTACAATTCAGAGTAAAATATTAGAATAATAAATGTAATATTACTTACCTGCCATGAAGAAAAAATAATGCGCCTTCACAGGGAGTAAATATGGATTTATTTTCACCATGATTGTGTTCTTATAGTCAATGACAAAAGGGGGTTATGGATAGATTAAGGCATCAACACATCTGGAAACAATAAAATTAAGTTTTAGTTCAAATCAACTGATAAAGAATTCTAATCATCACATTATGTAGTTATATTCAACTAGCTATTTTTGGTGTTGTATACTTATGTTGTGGAGAAACAATCACTTCACTACAACAATTTAAAATGATAAATACCAAACAACCCCGCCACAGCAAACCTGCAGACTAAGCCAATTTCCATTTGCCTAATTGGATTTACTCAAATGTCTCCTTATAAATATCACATTTATTCCCTACTAGCAGAGCACCCGTCCTTCGTACGGGGTTGGCATATAAGTACAAAATGCTTATTGCAGTTATACTCAAGCTTTGCGTTTGCAATGGGGAGAGGACACAGTTTGATAAAATTTGGTTAATAAATTTACGGTATGATATAGTATAACACATCTACTATTGCCATAATGTTCTACCATTGCACTTAAACAATAGAAAAAAATAAATTATCAAACATTCGCACAATATCACAAATCTATATATTAATTTGAAACTGTTTTTCTTTGTCATAGCTAAATTGAGAGAACGGCTGGGCGTAGAAACTCGGTAGAGGTGTCTAAAGAAAGGTCTTGGTCTGTAGATGAGCCATCAAAAGAGAAACGTGGTAAATTACCTTGGGGCTCTGCCCCAGTGGCCTTTGAATTCCCATCCCATGTTATTCTTATGGAGGAAAAACTGGGTTTTTGTCCCAGCAAATTTGACAGAACGGCTGGGCGTAGAAACTTGGTAGGGGTCTCTAAAGAAAGGTCTTGGTCTATAGATGAGCCATCAAAAGAGGAACGAGGTAAATTCCCTTGGGGCTCTGCCCCAGAAGCCTTTAAAGTTGCCTCTTCAAATTTGTTTACCATATGCATAATTCTACACTACTGTTTAATGAAACAGCTGTTAATATTTAAATAGTGATTTATTGAATTTTTCAAAATGAAGTACAGTATTTGCAATGGGTTTTTCTGATTTTAAAATCGATTTTATTCAGCATCGTGTCATGTTTTGCAATATAATGTTCTATTACCAAATCAGTGGAAAATCCTAATATCACAGTAACTCTTAAAATTATTTCTTATGGAGTTAACTTATATCTATTGTATGGCTTGGTTTCTGCCTTTTTTTACCACTTCTAGGAGATTGTACGTAGGTGATATTCTTTGGCGTATTGCATCTGTAGACGAAACTTGGGTTGGTGAAATTATTACAATGGAAAACAGCGAGAAATCCTGGACAATTTGATATAGGTAGGCTAAAAATAAAACTGAATTAACAATATGCTACATTTCTTGAGCAATCATTGAAATAACCGATTTGCAAACAATGGAAACATAGAAAGTCATAGAACACAACCAAGTAGAAGAAATGAAATAATGTTTTTTTTTTATTTATAATCGTTATTATAGAACGAACTACTAAAAACGAAACTAATGCAACTATGAGAGGGAAATTTTTTAGAAACACTAAAAAACAAGATCAGCTTTTTGAGAAAAGATAAGATATTTACAAAAGTTTTTGATTATATCTAACTGTTGCGTAAATTGTGAGTATTTCCATAATCTTCGTGAGTCGCCTGTAATGCTTCGCAATTGCTCGAATTCGAGCAACAGGTACACTAGTTATTCATTAAATTAAAAACTCAAACCTAACTGTAAACAATCCTACTTTGACAGTTCTCATTGTGTATCACAGCTTTTTATTGCTGCTTAGTTCAAATTAGCTGTTGTCATATATGCGCAAACAAAATAATAATAGTGCTGCACCCTGTTGGGAAACCTTATAACTTTTTAATGCTATTGCATATTATCATAGGCATATAGAATGAATATGCTAAACGTAGCACAGCTGGCGGTCTATATTTATTCTATTTGGCTATGATATTATAGAACCAACTTGTAAAGTTGAAAAAGCTGACTAAATTCTTTAATTCCCTTTAAATATGAATACTCATAAGGTTAACATGGGGAACTACAGACCCACTGGGGCGGAGCCCGAAAGGATTTTTGAGATAAGAATATGCCTAAATTTTAATAGGGAATGTGAGCTATCATCATGCCAAATTTCAGCCCAATCCGTCAAGTAGTTTATGCGTGATTGAGCAACACACAAACATACACACAAACTTTCAGATTTATAATATTAGTAAGATATGAATTTAAACGGATGGTGTTTTTGGCCTCTGGGGACCTCAAAACGAAAAAGTAAATCAGGCCCGGTCTAGGTCTTACCATGAGACCTACGGTAAAAGCCTATTCCCTATATGTGAAATTCGCTAAAAGCAAGTAGCCCCTACAAGATAAACGTATTAGTGACGAACAGGAGCAACTGTTGCGGGCATCATGACTGACGAGCGACTGGATCAGTTCCTGTCTTTAATAGCATACTAAATCATTTGTTTTTTTAAGCTCTACAAAGTGGTTTGGAAAGAAATTGCTAAATTTTATGTTTTTAGGGTCAAAATTGAGAAAAACCAATTCTTACCACATAAAACCCCCCATAAATCCACGTTCCCATGGTTTGATTATGCTGGTTTGCGAACTCGTTTGAATAAAAGTTAGTAGGTTTACACGTTTGTACCAAATTAATCAAAATCAGATCATTTCTGCTTGAGTTATCGCGGTAACAGACACACATATATATATGTGTTTGTGAAAGACTGTGACCATGACCTAAGTGTCGAAATGCATCAGTCATACAAAATTTTTTTTTTTTAAAAGGGTACTATGGTGTTTTGTTATTAATATTAATTACAGTAGCCCTACACATGAACAATATCAAATACAATATGTATATATATATACCTATATATCTTACTAATATTATATATCTGAAAGTTTGTGAGTTTGTGCGTTTGTGTGTGTTTGTATGTATAATATATGAATTTGAACGGTTGGTGTTTATGGCCTCTAGGGACCTCAAAACGAAGTAATTCGGTCCCGGGTCCAGGTCTTGCCATAGCTTATTCCCTATATGGGAGATTCGCTAAAAAGACTTTGGGTGCAAGAGTGCAAACTCAACAAAAAAAATAAATTGCTGAAACAAAATTTAATTTGTTTCTGAATACCATTATCAAGGAGAATAATTTTATTTGTTTTCGCTACACTACACAGTATGCAGCTGGTTTTAGCGAATTTCCCATATAGGGAATATTAGCGAATTTCCCATATAGGGAATATCAGCGAATTTCCCATATAGGGAATAAGCTATTACCGTAGTACTCATGGTAAGACCAGGACGCGGGACCGATTTTTTTTTTTCGTTTTGAGGTCCCTAGAGGCCAAAAACACCATTCGTTCAAATTCATATATATATATATTTATACAGGATGGAACGTTAGTGTTAAAAAATTTTATGTGTTAAACTACTAAGTATTGGTGACAAAATGGCACCAATTTAAGTTTCCATACCCTCACAGGTAAGGGATAACAGACAATTTAAGACTTTTTCAAAATATTTGTACTTACTTACATAAAATGGCCATAAGTGCATTAAACATTGTTTTTATTCCAAATTCATTGTCATTTTCAGAATCCTCGTTAAATTTCCAATAGTAATAGTACAAATTCATTGAGATTAAACATCTGCCCTATTAACATAAGCCTTTATTTGGCTATGGAAGTTTGAATTTGAGATTTTTTATAAAAAAGTACCTTTATTATAACCTTTATTTGATTTTTCCATTATCAGCACAATGGAAAAATCAAATAAAGGTTTACTAATCTAAAAAATAGTTTTGTTCATAAAATAAAATTATAATAAAATTATAATTGTCTAAAATTCAATTTTATAGGCCTAATCTTTTAATTATAAAATTAAACTGTCATAACCTAACCAAACCAACCAAACTTGCTGATATGAAAAAATTGTTGATAAAAAGTTAGTGCCGCCGGCGAGATTCGAACCCGGATCATTCGGATGATCAACCCGCAACGCTATCCACTGCACCACCGATGCCGATGGCTAAAAACCGTATCGTTGCGGTATTGGTGTTCCCTCAAAGTGACGTCAGCAGTAGTGACGTCAAACGGCACCTGAGAAATCTTCCGTGTGCCGTTTCGACTGTTTTGTAGGTTTGAATAATCACAACATTCTGTATTAGCATTAGTCATGATTTGAAATAGTGCCACAGTGTTTCTACAGAGTGCAGCACAGAAAACTATTTTACTTTTGAATAAGTCCAAATGTATTAAACCCCAATCGCAGCACACCTGTGCACTTAACAACGTTTAAATTCTCCAATGTTAAATATTAAAACATAAAAACCTTTATCAAAGTATTATAAACAATAAAAGGGATGACTTTTTTAAATTTATGACAACAGCTAATTTTCAACCAAAAGGTGAGTGAGCGTAGCGAACGAACATCAACCTGGAGGCGAGTTAGCGTAGCGAACGAGCTAACCTGAAAACAAGTGAGCGCAGCGAACGAGCTCCAACCTAAAGGTGAGAGAGCGTAGCGAACGAACTTCAACCAGAACGTGATTGAGCCATGCTAATACTTATGAAGTTAAACGGGGCAAAGCCCGTGGGTACAGCTAGTCTAAATATATAAAAGGCAAAGCCCTCACTGGCTGACTCACTCACTCACTCACTCATCACTAATTCTCCCACTTCCCATTTACCTAGGAGGCTGAAATTCGGTACACCAATTCTTTGGGCATTAAATAGGAAAACTAAGTAGTTTTTATTCTGATCGGGCTTTCGGGCTCCGCCCCAGTTGCTCTGGAGTTTCCCATGTTAACCTTATGATTTTTCATATTTAAAAGGAATTTCTTAACAGCTGTTTCAATTAAACAAGTTGGTTCTGTTCTATGATGTTCAATAGCATTAGTTACAAAGATTACCAACAGGGTGCAGCACTATTATTTTTTTAAATTTATGACTACAGCCAATTTGCAACCAAAAGGTGAGCGAGCGTAGCGAACGAACTTCAACCCGGAAGCGAGTTAGCGTAGCGAACGAGCTAACCTGAAGGTAAGTGAGCGGAGCGAATGAGCTCCA